CGGGGTTTAGATGGAATAGAGAGTATTTCAAATTTATTAGCCACCTCGGATGAGAAATCGCCATAGTAACCTAGGCTGATGCGAAACTCAAAATAAAAATCAGGCATTCTTTTCCATTCGTAGTGGGCAGAACAACTTTCCATAGTCGAAGCGCTACACTGCCCACAGGCTCCAATCAGATTTAATTATCTGTAGTCAACTTTTGTTGCATAAGGTGAGGAATGACTTATGGTTAAATTTTCCTTTAATCAGATAAGTAGGTCTTAGGATGATATTGAACTTTTCTCAGTTTTGGCTCCCAAAAGGCTTTCTCATCCAGTTTTTGGTTAAAGTGGAGTTTCAAGACTACCACTCCACATTGAATAAGAATTGTGTTCTTTCTATTCCTCTTAATGTGATAAAGGGGTATATAAATAGGTATAATATTTCTATCTGATTTCACGCAGCATTGCTTCTAAAATGGTCGAAAAACCTACTTATAAAATGAAAATAGGTAATGTAGTCTATTCTTAAAGCACATACATATTTGCTTCGAAGATATGAACAAAAACTGGGTTCCGAAGCATTCTTTAGTGCTTTATTGTGACATGACTTTGCATTTCGCAGGAAAAGTTGGTTAGAAGGAATTCGTGATGTGGTCTTACCGGTAAGCAAAGGAGGATTGTGGTATTGTGTGGAGAAGTCCTCGGCTCACCATCCGACGAAACTGATGAACCTGTGATGAGCTTTAGTCCGTACTGTGACGGACATCAGCAGAGCAAGAATCCATACTTCACTAAATAGAACAAAATATATTAAACCGAGCGAAAAGGTGGCCAGCTGCAAGCCTAGTCGCTTTTTATTCACCTAACTTCGCGATATTAATGGGGCATCCCATGATTTGATTAGCCTGCAGATGAATGATTTACTTTATTGCATAGTAGAGTAGAGCACGAAGAGTAAGGTTAAGGTAGATAGCCAAATCATGGGAGATATATTTAAGATCGTGTATAAAAAAGCGACTAGGGTTGCAGCCGGCAACCTTTTTTCTTGGTTTAGTATATTTTTGATCTGTTTCTTAATGTATGGATTCTTGCTCTGATGATATTTGTCACAGTACAGATGAAATCTTAGCACGGTGTCATTGGGATCTCAGGACGGTGAGCCGAGGACAATATAACAGTTTTACCTACGAGGCAATCCTCCTTCGGTTTCAAGTGAGGCCATATTACCAATTCCTTCCAACCAACTTTTCCTTTGAAATGACTAGTCATGCCACATATTTGTTTCGTCCATAATCCACATAAGGTGATAAAAGATGGATAGATGAATTTTCCCACAAAACTATTAGTAGGCCTCAAGATGCCATTAAATTCCCATCCAGGTCGAGCTGTAGCTTTGACTTCACCTTGTTCTTATCACCACCCCCGGGCTGTGAGTATCGTTGGGATCTTGCCACCTCATTTCACGGCAACGGGTGTCGATAGGCCATATAGCAGATGAGACAGACAATGCGAAGTCAAAACTACAGTTCAACCTGGATAAGAATGCCCTTTGAAACCAAGTTGAAGGGAAATTTAATGGCATCTTGAGGCCTCCTAATAACATTGTGGGAAAATTCATCTATCCGTCTTTTATCACCTTATGTGGATTTAGGATTAAGCAAATATTGGGCATGACTATTCATTTCGAAGGAAAAGTTGGTTGGAAGGAATTCGTAATATGGCCTCACCGGAAACCGAAGCCTGATATATATATATATATCAGGCTTAGGTTTCTGGGGAAGTCATATATATATCACCTTATGTGGAGTTTGGACGAAGCTAATATGTATTTACCTTAGAAATCGACTATAGTAGGTTTTTTTCTAAACTACCAGTATATCTGGTATAGAGTTGCAATCATCCTATTTCGTTTAAAGGTAGTAAAGGGCTGGTAACTGAAAGTTTTTAAATGATAAGGATATGACTCTCGTTTCCATTAGATTCCATTATAATTCATATTTTCACTATTACCTAAGAGGAGTTGTGTCAGCGTGGCATAGTGATAGCGATTCTAAAATGAATCTTTCCCGATACGAATTAGAAAGCCTTTTAGAAGCAATACTAAGTAAAAAAGTTGTTTGACCCTGTTTTCGCAACTTCATCATGTTGGTAAGAAGACTTAGAAGAATGCATCTTGACCAGAGTCCATTGTATGCATGATAGTTTCCAGAGTAGGACCGTGTACGTGATACATTTCTAGACGTTTCGATGGCATCGTAGTCGGCATCGTCAGTGAGTATCGCCATTCTCAGCACCACGCAACAACTCGTCAAAGAGACAAGTGAAGCCAATTCTTTGAACAAACGTGTGCTAAACAGTTGTGCTATCTCTCCTTCTTCCATGGGCTATTCACATTTCCTATATCCTCCTATAACACCTTCACTGTGACAATTTTTTCCGTGCTTATTTTGATGTAGTGTGGTGTGCTCCTTTGAGCCACATCCATGAAAACCCTTCACACTCCACACTGTCGTTATCACTCCTTCACTCTTGTGCTGAGAATGTTGATCAGAGTCTGCGATATTGTTACGCAGTCCTCCTTCCTAGGTCTTATCACAGTCTCTCTCTTGCGCCGTAAGATCCGTCTACTCTCTACCTGGTTCACGTATTTCACTCGACCCCTGCCACCCCATCGGTGCTACTCGAGGCGTTATTCGACCTTCCCTGCGTCTGGGTGACTTATTCGAGGCTCAAGCCTCTGAATACGTCTCATTGCTACATGGACCATATTTTTGGTAAAACCTACTGTCAGTCAACTAGCTCCAGTCTCCGCCGCGTCTATCCTG